AGAAGAAGAAGAAGAAGAAGAAGAAGAAGAAGAAGAAGAAGAAGAAGAAGAAGAAGAAGAAGAAGAAGAAGAAGAGAAGAAGAAGAAGAAGAAGAAGAAGAAGAAGAAGAAGAAGAAGAAGAAGAAGAAGAAGAAGAAGAAGAAGAAAAAGAAACCTTGAGGGTTGCCAGTTTCTGTGGGTTGATCGTTGATTAGTTGAATGCAGTTGCAGCGCTGAGGAATAAAACCAAATATGAATGATACAATATGCTTCTTTTTTTGCTGCTAAAAGATCTTATTAAATGCAAAAAACCAATATGGTTACCTCCCTCCAAAAATTGCTTGATGAATTTTTTATGCACATCCAAGGAACTCTTCTTAATGTCCAAGCCTTTGTTAATTAACCGACGAACTCTTATCATTGTGAAGGCTCTGCATCCAATAGGGAAAACCAGAAAACATAATATACACATTAATGGAAAAATTATTTTAGATTGTACATTAAATTAGTTTTTGTAAAGGGCAAGTACAGTGCGAGAGCTCCCACACAGTTTGGCTTCTGTGGAATGGATAAAGTAGGCAACCTTTCCCTTGCTTCTTGCGAAGGAAATGGATCATAAGCCTAGGACTCCCGGCCACCCCTCACATTATGATATTGTGTAATTAATAAAACATGACATTGCCGTAGTGATTAGCAAATGGAACATGACACTATTGTGGTGTTTGGTACTTTGGTTAATAAAACATGTTACTGACCCTATATGAGACGTGCTGATCCCCTTTATGCTGCTCCTGCCTCTCATCATCCTCAGCCATACACTGTCTATCGTCTTTCTGTCTCTTTCAGAATGCCTCAACTTCAGCCCTTGATATGTGCTTTCCCAACTATTCGACGTGGATTGAAAGCCATGGTTAGAACACAGTGAAAAACAACACAAAGCAGGGGCATAAAAATCCATAAACATAGCAGTTGAGACAATGACAGCACACATGCAATCATACAGAGGCATCCATTTCTTTAATAACTTGTGTTGATTAAAAGAATAAATCCAATAGCAATGAAAAGAAGAACACATAATTTTAAAATACTGGCTGCAAGAGATGTTGAGTGACACCCATAAGCTATAAATTCTACAATATCGATTGATAAATTAATTTTTCCTTTTGTCATTACTTGAGTTCTATCAGACCCCCTAACCAAAAGTTCCTATCTTTATCAATCAAAGAAACAACTACTTACTAAAAAAATATAACAGGCAGGGCAAATGATCACCAAAAAACAGAAACCAAAAAAATATGAGCTATGAGAGCAACCAGGAGGTTTGCGGTAACAAAAGGGATAACATAAAAAGAATTCAATAAGAAACCACTTTCATTAAATGCAAAAATAGTCAAAAACTAAGAAAAACAATTAATCAAATAGCTAATTTCATGGAAAACTCAGAACAACTAAAGAAACTAAAACAACATAAACTGTGTTGTTAAATAAGATCAGAGGAGAACCAGAATTTCAGAACTCCCAGAAGGTGAGATGGAGCCGAACACAAAGCGCAGGGACTTGGATAAGAAGCGGAAGAGCGAAGGCTAAGGCCAGGCGGAAGGCATCAAGGCGTGCAGCGCACCAAAGGGATGAGACCACGCGCTGAGCATCGAGGATTGGCAGAGTGGCAGGCGGCGGGGGCTGGATTTGCGATTTGGCGAACGTGATAGTTCATCGATGCTGAGCCACAGGACAGAGCTAGGGCAGCGACTCCACTACTGGCGGCCTAGTGACAAAAGGATCGAAGGATTTCTCTTCTTCCTTGCGACCTACAATACATCAAGCTCAGGAGGAGAGGAGGAGCTGCGAACCCTAGACTGAATACATCGAATAAAATGAGAGCAAATGAATCGGGAAAGACATTTGGTGTTCTTTTATGTGGGTGAGCGACAAACAGAGGATAGCAAACGGAGACGTTAAAAGGGCGAGTACTGTAGCAACGTAAAAAGGACGAACTAACTCTCTACCGCGCTTTAAGTAAATAGGGATATATATATATGTTTAAAAGAAAATAACATTTTTTAAGAACAACTGATTTGTAACCATCGATTTAACCCTTCTAAGGGAGTGTTTGCAACTGCTTCTGCTTAAAAAAAAACACTTTTGGAGATATAAGGAAAAAGTGATTAGTAGTGAAAAGTTGATACTGTTTGAGAAAAAAGTGATTTTGAAAAGTAAAAGTTGATAGTGTTTGATAAAACAAGTGCTTTTTGTGTAATAGAAAGAGAAAAAGCACTTTTCACACGCAAGCCGAGAAAAAGTAAAAATTGGTAGTGTTTGGTAAATAAGTGCTTTTTTTAAGCCAAAAGCTAAGAAATGTTTTTTTAAGTGATTGCAAACACTCCCTAAATAAATGTAAACTGCATTTTTTTTAAATTCACGTGTAAAATGCAAACAAGGATACAAATGGGGACAGAGGATCGAGTATACTTCGTATATGTTTGTGTTTTGTTCAAAGATTCAAAAGTGGTGTGCTGGGCTGGGCATAAATTAATCAAAGTTAAAGGCATATATGCGTGAATTAATATATAATTTTAAACTCATCATCATTAGTAGCGCAATAAGCGAGATATGCATGATTAGGATCACGTAACACGCACGCTTAATTCGCTAACCGATATTTTGTTCATCATGACTTCATGTGGCCAAACCGTTCGATAATCTGCAGATCGGTCGAAGATCGGCTCATATATTTACTCATGCAGATACACCACTCCTTCCATTATTGTTGATCTTGGAGTCATCGGTTAATCTTGAAATCAATGGCACCAATCATCTATAAACACCTCTTCGAGCACTTGAAATTGATCTCTCTCCTGCTCTCTAGTAATATGCCGAGGGGACGCTGGATGAGGACACACTCGAGGAAGGTAGTTTCATTGAGCCGGATATGAGAACCATATTTGGTAAATACTTGTTCGGTCCTAACGTTTTTGGACGGAACTGCTGAAATGAAAACGACGCTACAAATAGGAGCGTTTCGGATTATCATTTGAAATATGACGTTTTCTACTAATTTTTACGGCCCGAACAACTAAATTGCCAAACATATTCAGTCAACCAAGCCAACTTATTCCGCTAGTCAAACTCGCTCACAGAATCCGTTATTAACAACCCACTAATATAACCCGATGTCCACTGTTGGAGGTATTGGTCCTACCAAGGCCTCCCTTCCACTTTATTTGTTGAGGCTTGCACACTCTATTTTATTCTCCCTTGGATACCTTTTCTTTGGTATACATCCTGATCAGATATATACCTATTTTGAGTAGTTGACTTAATCCACTTCGCTGGCCCCTTCTCTGCTTCATGTCCGCTGCACTCCTTGTCTATGTATCATGTGAGGCTTTTTTGTATAGCTTCACCCGTGACCCATTTGTCTTGGTCTTACATGTGACTTTCTATCTGTCAGCCACCCTGCTATATAGAAGCCTTGCTTCTCCCTTTGTTGAGCAGCCTGCGAGATATCCAAGTGAGAGCAGAGCTCACTTCTTCTTCCTCCTTTGTGTGAGTGTAGAGAGGTCTTTGTGGAGAGTAGAGAGTTGTGTGCTATAGCCTCCTCCTAGTGTGGTGTGTGAGAGTGTGTGTTGAAAGACCTGAGCCGGAGACGGAATCCGATACTTACAGTGGTATCAGAGCCGGTTCCGCCGTCTGCCGCCGTCCGCCGCCGCCCTCCGCCGCCGGGCATCGATTCGAGGTCTTGGAGGTCACCGGTCATTCGCTGAAGCTTTGCTTGGTGCCATTGCTTCCCGTTCACCCCGAATCTGGTTCTGCCGGCAACTGAAAGATCCGCCTTCAAATCCACCGCAGAAGCCTCTGACCGCCGTCGCCTGAGAGTGACTGACGGTGGTCGCTCACTGCTGGAAACAAAACTCGACGTCCGGAGATAGCTAGCTGTCCAGAGCTCGCCGCCGTCGTCTGGGCTCCCGCCGGTGATCGTTTCTCGCTGGAACCGTCGCTCGTCGCAGGGAAGCTCGCCGGAGATTAGTCGCCGGTCGCCTTGGTGCTCGCCTTGCTTCGATCCTCGCTGGTCGCCGAAAGCAGAGGAACACGTGTACTGTGTTCATCGCGCTGAAGGAGAAGGCGCTGAGTCTTTCTCGATTCAGCGAAGGACGAAGGACTTGGATTACTGGAGTTTTGAGCGATGGGCTGAATTGGACCTGGGCCTCGACCTGGACTGCTTCTAGAGTTGCTGGACAGAGCTGGACTTGGCTGTTGGGCTGACTGGAGCTGTTGTCTATGGAGCGGGTCTGCTGATTTGGACTGGAGCTAAGTTGCTGGATTGATAACTGAAGCTGGGCTACTTACTTGAGGTGCTGGACTGGACCTGGACTGCTGTAGGTGTTGGACCACCAGTCAACCGCCGGTCAACGTCAGTCAACCCCTCCAGAAAAATCCCAATTTTTTAAAAATTGGGTAGGTAAGGTCGAAACGCTCTCCTAGGGTTTCACGAAGGTAAGTTTTCTTTAAACTTCCTATTTGTAATTTTCCGATTTCAATTTAAATTAATTTATTCCCCCTTCCCGCGGGCCGCCGGTTGATTTAATCCCGGCCGCCAACCCCCCAGGTACGTACTAAACCCTCTCCTTTGTGGTTGATTGTTTTAGTTGATTAATTGAATTGCTAAGTGTTATTTAATTTAATTGTTATATGCGTAGGGGTGGTTTATTGGGTGGTATGGGTAGAATTAATTAAATTTAAATTGCTGCCCGGAATTGTTTAATTGCCAAAATGTCCATTTTTTGCTATGTGTTGCATGCTGCCCGGGGTTATTAAAGTGAATACTTTATAACCCGGGTTGGATTATTTTCTGTCTTTTCTATCTGTTTAGCTTTGTGTTCCCTTGTGGTTGATACCATGGCTGCGAATCAGTATGGTATGCTTCCATTTAATGGAAAAACAGATTTTGATATTTGGAAACAGAAAATTAAGTGTGTGTTAATACAGCAAAAAGTTTTCAGAGCTGTCACTGGTATTTTCCTTGAATCAGAAGATAAGGCTAAGCAAATTGAAATGAACGAAACTGCTTGTTCTACTATTTACTTGAATCTGTCTGATTCTGTGCTTAGGAAAGTGAGTATTCTTGAGTCCGCTAAGGAGTTGTGGGAGAAATTGGATAGTCTCTATACTGATACCTCTTTGCCCGGGAAGTTGTTCTTACTAGAAAAATTCTTTAGGTTTAGGCTTGACCTGACTAAGGATATAGATGAGAACCTGGATGTGTTTAATAAACTGATACAGAATATCAAACAGGCAGGTGATAAACACATAGATGATTATACTCCCATAGTATTACTTAATGCCATTCCCGACTCTTATAATGATGTTAAGTCCGCTATTAAGTACGGTAGGGATGAGATTTCGTTAGATATTGTTGTGAATGGGTTAAGAAGTAAGGAATTAGACCTGAAGCATGCTAGGGGTAGTGCTAGTCAGTCCAGGGACTCCGGTGAGGCTATGTTTGTTAGGGGTAGATCTAAGGGTAGGTCTAAGAACTCTAAGCAAAATAGTCAGGGTAAGAACACTAGTCAGCCTGGGAGGAAGAGGAGCAAATCTAGGAAGAGAGTGTGTTACAATTGTGGTAACACTGGCCATTTCATTAAGGATTGCCCCCACCCTAAGAAGACCGAGCATGCTAGTGTAGCTGTTGATAAATGTGACCTTGGTGATATTTTGATGGTCTGTGACCATGTTAATTCTGTGAGAAATTCCCTGTCTGAGCATGAATGGTTGATTGACTCTGGTTGTACCTATCACATGTCCCCCTTTAGAGATTTGTTTTCTACTTATGAATTATGTGATAGTGGCTACGTTTCCTTAGCTGATAATAAGAGATGCAATGTGCTTGGTGTTGGTGATATATGTCTGAAATTTTCTTGTGGCTCTGTGTTTACCATTAAGAACGTGAGGCATGTCCCTGATTTGTGTCATAACTTGTTATCTGTTGCTGCTTTGGAGAGTAGTGGGTTACAGGGAAAATGGGGGAATGGTTGTATGAAAATCCTGAAGAACTCGCTTGTTTTGTTTAAAGCTGAGAAGGTGAATAACCTTTATGTGTGTCATGCTAAACCTTTTGCTGAGTCTGTGAATGTTGTATGTTCTGATAAGACCTCTTTGTGGCATAATAGGCTAGGACATATGAGCAATAAGGGTTTAGATGTCATGCGTAGGGCTGGTTATTTTGGTAAGGACTCTGTGACTTCTGTGCCTTTCTGTGAATCTTGTGTGTTAGGCAAGCAGCATAGAGTCACCTTCCCTCCTTCCTCTTACCCTAATCTGTCTAAGTGTTCGTCTGTGCTTGAATATGTTCATGCCGATGTTTGGGGTCCTGCCAGTGTTCCTACTCACGGGGGTAGGAAATATTTCCTTTCTATTATTGATGACTTTTCTAGGAAGGTGTGGGTTTGCCTTTTAGAACACAAGTCTGATGTGTTTGTGAGGTTTAGGGAGTGGAAAACCCTAGTTGAAAACCAAACTGGCAGGAAGGTTAAGACCCTTAGGACCGATAATGGGTTAGAGTTCTGTAATAAGGAGATGGATAAGTTGTGTGTTGATTGTGGGATAAAAAGGCACAAAACTGTGCCTTATACTCCCCAACAGAATGGGATAGCAGAGAGAATGAATAGGTCTCTGTTGGATAAGGTTAGAAGCATGTTAGCTACCTCTGGTTTGTCTAAGAAATTCTGGGGTGAAGCAGTCACTACTGCTGCCTATTTGGTTAATAGGTCCCCGTCTGTCCCTCTTGGTGGTAAGTGTCCTGAAACCGTCTTTACCGGTAAGCCTCTTGATCTGTCTAACCTTCGGGTGTTTGGTTGTGCAGCGTATGCACATCAACAGGGTGACAAGTTTGATCCTAGGTCTAAGAAATGTGTCTTCCTAGGTT